GAGATGGATCTCAAAATTCCTTTCTCACAAATGAGGAAATGAAGATAAATATTAAAATATAAATTCTCTTATGGACACACAGAAATTAAGTGGTGGAGCTGGGAAAGAAACCATACTCTGGCTGATACTGGAGATGGAGAAAATTCTTTTAAAATTGGTTCCATTCTTAAAATCTAGTTATTCTGCAGTCAGTGCCTCCCTTTAAGTGCACAGCAAGACACTCAGGGGTTCAACTAATAGTTATTCGGAGATGGGGTGGGGCAGGATCCAGAGGCCCTCTCCATTCCCTTCAGGCAGAAGGGAGGGGCAGATCCCTGACTTGGGGGAGGAGGACTAAAAAAGATCAGTTTTCATGAATTTTCCACAACTTTTGCTTTTTATTTTTGACCTTTCATCTTCCAAGAATCTTAGAAGATTAAAAACAATCTTCATACTCTTTTAGCAGGTGGTTCAAAACACAATCCCTTCTTGCCACTCTGCCATGGTATGCTGGCATTTCTTACAGGGCTGAGGCCCCTGATTGCCCCCACACTAATGTGTGAGACTTAGGTGTTCTTTGGCAAATCATTTAGCTCCGTTCTTCTATTTCCTACCTGGTAGAGAACGATGTACACCTGCTCGTTAATGTCCTCGCATAGCAAACATCAGAATTAATTCTCTAAGATTACAAAAACAAAACCACAAAAATTTTTTGTGGTTTTGTTTTTGTTATCTTTGAGAAATGTGTTCAATCTGAGTGACAGTTTAAAGAAAAAGAATGCGTGGCTATTCCGTGATGAACTTACTCATAGTACTTTCTTCACTTAGATTACTTTTCTCAATCCTCCCCACATCTCTGTTGATAAATGGGTCAGCCATCTTCATCCCCATTTTACAATTGAGGCAATGAGAGGTTAAGTGCCTGACCGTTGCTGGTAATCAAGATGAGAGCAGGACTTAAGCAGTCTCTTGTCCAAATCTGTGGTTCATTTTACCTCCTCTGTATGGCCAGATTGCTGCCTCAGAAACTACCTTTTGGCCTTAGTTCCCTCGTCTGTAAAAATTGGTCACTCTTATAAAAGATGGTCACTCTTAGAGCTAAGATTTTATTATCAGGAGCAGCACCCTGAGTGCTTTTGGTATAAAAATGCTTTATGCATTTAGCAATAAATTAGAAAACAATCACCTAGTGGAGTGAACTGGCTGTTGGTGAACACTATATATGAAGCAATGGGAAAAACTGAATCATCCCTGACCTAAGATGTGGACTTTGGCAGATGAATCTGAAGGCAGAAAATGTTTCCAGATCCACTGATCCAGTATAATTCTGGACAATTTTTACGAGTCTTCCTGATCCTATTCCCTTGATAGAACTATGGGCTATTTCCTTCACAGGGCTTCTCATAAACTTTTAAGAGACTGAAATTGTTCATCACTGTTAGAAACTTGTGAATATCGTTCCTATCACAAATGTTAATTGTTTGAAAAATTACTCCAGCCATTATTTTCAGGGGAAAATAAATCTATGGTGATGCTCTAGATTTAACCTTTCATGCCTTGATAGAAACTTGAAGAGATAGTGAAGCCATGTCATTAACATGCCATTTTGCTTCCCCACTACTTGCTTGACACACACCACATACCAGGAAATGTTGCAGTTGTCACTCTATAAAAAGGTAAATTTTAGTCTATTCATTTTTTTATGTCAGTGAAGTTAAAAAAAAACACACACCTCTGCCAGTATTCACACATTTTGGCTCAAGAAAATATGATAATTTTATCTGTATTTCATAGTCCTTATATGCCAAAATGATTCACTGCTGGATCTTTCACCCCGAGGTAGTGCCTGGGATGGGACTGGTACTCAGTCCACACAGATGAAATAAATTTGTGTGCTAGTTAGGACGACATGAGAGCAGTCTTATTCTTTAAGCAACATGAACCAAGATTTTCTTCTATTTAATGATTAAGATATTGGATTAAAAATCTCCTAGACAAAGTCTCAGATGTAATTATGCTCGTGAGCCTCCTTTCTAGCCATTTCTAATCAGAGAGAATCAGGTGAGAAGGGTCAGGAACTTTCCATGGGTAAAAAGGACAGTTCTGTCTACATGATGCAGTTCATAGCCATAGATACAAAATGAATAGGACAGTCTTCTTGTTTGTTAGGACACCTGTTTGCTCTTACCTACAAGTAATTCAAATGCCCAAAATTATGACTTTGGGTATGGAAACAGCCTGTGAATACACATTCGCACATTCAAGCTAAGGTTATACTTAAAGCGCTTCCTGATGGTGATATCTAATTCTAAAAACGGGGCAGTGTGCTGGTCACCTTCTAAATCTAACATTACAATCATCTTGGGTTATTTTTATAGTCAACTAGATGAAAAAGTGTAATAGGATGAGGTAGGTAATGTTAAGCCATTGTGTTTTCGTGTTCTACTGTGTGCGTGTATGTGTGGCCCAAAGCAAATTACCATTTCTATGAAGTTTATGGTATTCTAGGGAGGAAAATATTTGGCAGAACAAGTTTTTAAAAAAAACAAACTTCTCATATTTTTCCAACCTAAATGAAACTTACTACTTTCACAGATCAAAAAGAGAACAAGATGTTCGAATACATCTCGTGATGTGACGTGAAACCTTTTGTGAGAGGGAATCTGTATTTTTAAGGACAAGTGTTGGCATTCTAATATTATCCCACCCCCATGGAAAAGGTCAAATCTAGTTCCATTGCAGGTACTTTTGTTTATCAGAAACATTGAAGTTTAATGAAATTCAATTTTGAAAAATTAGATGTGCAATTTTGTCATAAATGATACTCAGTTCTGTTCCAAACTGTATTTGGCCATGTAGTCAAACTATAATGTTTCATAATCTTTATTAGTGTTGTTTCTTAACAGTCTTGCCATTTCTACTACATGAAACTGTGTAAACATATTTAGCTGCTTTCTTGTTTTAGTATGTAGTTTCTATATATTGCTATCAATAAAATATTATGTATGAAATCATATGTCAACTTAAATTTGTATGATTTTAGGAATACAGCATTATGTTTAGGAGTCAAACACTTAGACTTCACTCTTTATGAGTAAATACTATGTATTTTAGTAAGACCTGTTTTTTTCTAATATTTAAAGTTATTTGAAATTATAACATACTTTAGCTTGATTCTCACCTTCTAGTTAGAAATATGCTATCATGATTGGTTTCTGTCTCTTCTTGGGCTTTTGTTTTGTGGTTCTTTTGGGAAGGACTCAGTCAGGAGTTGGAAAGAAAAGAAATAGTGGGCCTATTCTTTCATATAAATATGATGCCAACCCTTTGCTGCTTATGTTTTTTGTTAGCTCTTTTGTATCATTTATTCTGAGGGCCTCATTTCCCCAGAGCAGTATTTTCTGAAATTGAAGAGAAAAATGAAGAACAGTGGAACCTAGCAAAAGAGCTCAAAGGAGGGAAAATGGACTGAACAGAGGGGTAGGTAGGGTCATTCAGTACTACTGTGAACTTACGTCATTGCCTAAAAAGACATTTGGATTTGTTGCAATAACAAGAGAACTTTTAACCATTTAAAAACTCATTCATATGACTAAATGAGAAGTCCTTTGGTATTGCATTTCTCCAAATAACTAGAACTTAATTTCTCCCTCCTGTATACCATTTCCAGAATTATTCTTGAAACATTTAACCTTAGTACTGGCACACTAATGGAAGGATATGCTTTCTAGAATGATGATGCCACCCTCCAGTCAGTCGTCCTTGATAGATGGTATCTAAGAATATCATTCCCTGTAATAAAATTTTAAAGTTCTAATCATTTGGTACTTCATCTAGGGGGTCATTTTTTCAGCTGTAGAAGCTTAGATTTGCTTCCTCTTTTTTATTCTTAAATATGTGTATTGATGGTGATGGATGTGTTATTAATGTTTATAGAATACATGGATAGCATGTGTAGCATTAGTGCCTGTACATGGAGTACACCATCTTCTAGGGTAATCCTACAAGAAAACGGGCTCTACAGTCTAAATCGATTTTATTCTGTACAAAAACCATTCAGACTTCTACTTGATCCTGCTTCTCATCTTCAAATAATTCTCTTTACTATTCCTAACACTTGCATGATATCCTTGAGCAGATTCATTTTTGGAAGCAATGTAGAGAAATCACTATCCTTTAAATCAGCTAACAAAAATTCATATATGCAGTTTATATTGGGTGAGGTTAATTTTTCTCCTCACTGAATTGTACAAGAAGATATTACTTGGGAAGTTGTTAAAATCTCCCTCAGTAGAGCACGCTGGCTAAGGAAGTCAATACTGGAACCAGATGCCACTGGCACTGATATTTGCTAGCTCTGCAACCTCAGTAAGATGATGTAATCTTCCTGTGCCTTGATTTCTTCTGTAAAGTGGAAATACTAGTATCACCCTACATAGAATTGTTGTGAAGAATGAACACAACTCTTGGTAAATGTTAGCTACTATTATATTATTCATAGGTATCATATAAGATCTTACTGGAAAAGCCAAAGCATTATTTCATAAAAACAACATTTCTTTGTAATGTAAGCTATACTTTTGTCATGCATACTGGCATATTAGCAACATTAAAAAAAAAGAATCAAGAGCATTGACCTAGAAAGAAAATACCACAATTATTTAAAAATCCTAGTCAATAATGCAGCTTTTATTTGCTATGTTCACTGTAAGTCTGATCTTATGATCAATTTTTGTTACTGAAAGTGCTTTAACATGGCTACTGTAATTGTATAGTTTACAGAAGTTTTTAAAGCTTTATGAATTTCACAAGTGATTTCACTATTGAGAGTGACATTATTCTCTTAAGTTGTCAGTTTACGAGCAACACTTTGGGGATCTAACCAATTTAAGGAAGAATATCTGGTTTCCTTTACTTTCCAAGGGAAACAGCTGCTTCAGGAGGAATAGTCATGCGGGCTTCAGGCTTTCAGACATAGAAGATAAATCTTGTTCACTATTTTCCATTCATTCGCTTTGCAGCTTGCTGTTCCCCACAATGACGAATGGACTCGATTTGCCAGGACCCTCGTGGAGATCCGTGCCAACAGAGCTGATAGTGAGGAGGAAGGCACTGTTGAGTTGTCTGCCTAGGGGAAACGAGCCACCCACATGCCATGCCTCACTCCACCTTCTAGAGCTCAGCGCCTGCAGTCATCGATTCCACTTGTATTCAGTGTCCATTCAGTAGCAGTATTGCTGTGACATTTTGGGTGCCATATTGTGCCAGCTTTGCTCCGAGTATTCCACATGTATCCCACCCTGTTATCCACGGACCTGAAACTCACCAGAGCATTTCTATCTCTTTATTTCTGTCTCAAAAATGAGGCGGTGGGGGGAGCGGGGAGGGGAGCCTTTACGGGTTTAGTTGTTGCCTTTTAACTGCTTAGTAGATGTATTTAATAGCTGGAAACCTCTGGTTAAATTTGTGCTTACATGCACTTCTGGCATAGTCCTATTAAATCCATATGAAGCCAGATATGATTAGGTGCAGATGTGGTGTGCTTCATGATATGGTACAGGGCCAAAGACTTGAGATGTGGTGTTTTACATGGTGACTCACATTATGAATGGATTTACTAGAAGAACATTGCTGCTCCTTATTTATTGTGGTGTGCTGCATGGAACATATTTATTTGAAAGCATTAAAATAAATGATCTTAGAGCATGTGCATAATGAGAGGACTGTATTGTCTCTGCTGCTGCTGAGGTTACATTAAGTTCCAAATAACAATTACAATGTGCTGGTTCCACTGAGAACATGAGATCTTTAGAGCTTTGTTGCTGTGAATGTAATGAATTTTAATGCCTATTATTTCTACGTACTTTAACAATATTTCAAATATAGTTGGCCATTGATAACTTGTCATTCAAGCTAACCCAGTCCGACAAAAGTCTGTGGTTTCTGCATATGACACCAGTATTGCCAGTAAAATGTTCCAAACCAGGTCTGCACCAGTGTGGATAAATCCTTTGCTTGGGGAAAGCTTGATTGGAATTCAGCTGTGGCGAGGGAGCTGGGGAGATATATTAGGGCCATGTTAAGGACCGAGCATGAATTTCCAGGCGGCCAGCTTGGGTAGACTTAAATCAAGAACTCTGGTTCTATTTTTCTGAGGGAATGAGTGTGGTGCTTGGGAAAGCCCTTCTTTGTTGCCTTCACCAGAGGCCCTCCTGCCCCAAGACGATCTCCAATGTTGGAGTAAGAGAAACAGGGTAAGATGGCTGAATACCAAATGTTCTACACACTACTTTTTTTTTTTAACACCAGAAAATTATGTTTATTGCTATTGGACTAGGAAATATATCTGTAAACAACTTCAACAGAAAATTTTTTTCATAAAGTCATTTCATGCTTAGAGAGAATTAAAATAAATAGTGGTTGAGTCATGAAAAACATTGGAGGACAAGCTTTCTGCTTTTTAGGAAGAGAATTCCAATGGTGCTTTATTGGTAGAGACTCCTTGAACTGCGAGACTTCTCTTACTTCTAAAGCAGTAACATGCTTTTCTCCGCATGCCCTGTGGTGTACACAAGCGTGCCTTCTTACTGCGCTTGGCAGGTACTGCAGGCTTGACAGACTGAAGGATTGCAGCAACCCTATGTCGAGCAAGACTGTTGTTGTCATTTTTCCAACAGCATTTGCTCACTTTATGTCTCTGTGTCATGTTTTGGTAATTTGCACAATATTGTAAACTTTTTCACTATATTTGTATGGTAATCTGGAGTCAGTGATCTTTGATGTTACTGTTGTACTGTTTTGGGGTACCAGGAACTACGCCCATGTAAGACAGTGAACTTGATTGATCAATGTTGTGTGTGTTCTGACTGCCCCACCAACCAGCCATTCCCCCATCTCGTTCCCTCTCCTCAGGACCCCTGTTCCCTAAGACACACAATATTGAAATGAGGCCAATCAATCACTTTACGGTGGCCTCTAGGTGTTCAAGTGACAGGAATTGTCACATGTCTCACACAGCTAGAAATGATTAAGCTCAGTGAGGAAGGCATATTGAAAGCTGAGACAGGCTGAAAGCTGGGCCTTTTGCCCCAAACCATTAGCCAAGTTGAGAATACAAAAGGAAAAGTTCTTGAAGGGAATTAAGAGTGCTATTGCAGTGAACAGGTGAATGATAAAGTGAACAGTCTTATTGCTGGTATAGAGAAAGTTTTAGTGGTCTGGATATAAGGTCAAACCAGCCACAAACTTCCCTTAAGCCAAAGCCAAATCTAGAGCAAGGCCCTAACTCTCTTCAATTCTATGATGGCTGAGAGAGATGAAGAAGCTGCAGAAGGGAAGTTGGAAGCTAGCAGAGGTTGGCTCCCAAGATTTAAGGAAGGAAACCATCTCCATAACACAAAAGTGCAAAGTGAAGCAGGAAGTACTGATGGAGAAGCTGTAGCAAATTATTCCCAAGAGCTAGCTGGCTAAAACCATTAATGAAGGTGGCTACACTAAACAACAGATATTCTATGTAGAGAAAACAGCCTTCTATTGGAAGATGCCATCTAGGACTTTCATAGCCAGATAGGAGAAGCCAATGCCTGGCTCCAAATCTTCAAAAGACAGTTTGACTCCTTGTTAGGGGCTAATGGGGCTGACTCTCTTGCTGGAAACTAATCTGGCTGAATTGAAGCCAATGTTCATTAACTATATGCCCTTAAGAATTATGCTAAATCTACTTTGTGTGTGCCTTATGAATGGAACAGCAATGCCTGAATGACAGTAGCACTATTTATAACATGGCTTACTGCATATTTTGAGCCATCTGTTAAGATGTACTGCTCAGAGAAAAAGATTCCTTTCAAAAATATTATTGCTCATTGACAATGTACCTGGTCACATAAGAGCTCTGATGGAAACATACAATGAGATTCATGTTGTTTTCATGCCTGGTATGTAACACAACATCCATTTTGCAGAATCAAGGAGTCATTTCAACTTTCAAGTCTTATTACTTAAGAAATATATTTTGTAAGGCTATAGCTGCCATAAAGAGTGATTCCTCTGAAGGAGCTGGACAAAGTAAAATGAAAACCTCCCAGAAAGGATTCACCATTCTAGACGCCATTAAGAACATCCATGATTCATGGGAAGAGGTCAAAATATCGACATTCATAGTAGTTTGGAAGGAGTTGGAGGACTTTGAGGGGTTCAAGGCTCAGTGGAGGAAGAGTCACTGCAGGAGTGGTGGGAATAGTGAGTGAACCAGACTTAGACGTTCAGTCTGAAGATGCAACTGATTGTCTGTAGTCTTTTGCTAAAGCTTAAATGGATGAAGAACTGCTGCTCACGGAGGAACAAAGAAATTGGTTTCTTGAGATGGAATCTGCTTTTGGCAAAGAGGCTGTAAAGATTGTTGAAATTACACAAAGGATTTAGAATATTACATAGACTTAATTAAGCAGTGGCATGCTTTGAAAGGATTCCAATTTTGAAAGAAGGTTGTTTTTTTATGGTAAAATGCTGTCAAATGGCACTACATGCTACAGAGAAATTGTTTGTGAAAGTAGAGTCTATCGATGGTGGTAAATTTCACTGTTGTCTTATTTTAAAACCTCCACAGTCACCCCAACCCTCAGCAACCACCATCCTGGTCAGTTAGCAGCCCTCAGCATTAAGGCAAGAATCTCTCTCTCCCTCAGCAAAAAGATTATAACTTGCTGAGAGCTCAGATGATGTTAGCACTTTTTAAACAATAAAGTATTTTTAAATCAAGGTATATAAAATGTTTTTTTTAGACAGAATGCTTTGCACACTTAATAGACTACAGTATAGTGTAAACATAATTTTTATGTGCTCTGGGAGTCCAAAAAATTCACTTGACTGACTTTATTACGATATTTACTTTATTGTGATGGTCTGGAACCAAACCCACAATGCCTTCCAGGTATGCCTGTAGATATTTAAATTCTTTGTAAACACAAATTACAATTTTTTTTTTTTTGAGAGGGCATCTCTCATATTTATTGATCAAATGGTTGTTAACAACAAAGAAATTCAGTATAGGGGGGTCAACGCTCAACGTACAATCATTAATCCATCTCAAGCCTAATTCTCGTCAGTCTCCAATCTTCTGAAGCATAACGAACAAGTTCTTACATGGTGAACGAATTCTTACAGAGTGAATAAATTCTTACATGGTGAACAGTACAAGGGCATTCATCACAGAAACTTTCGGTTTTGATCATGCAATATGACCTATAAACCATCAGGTCAAATATGAATATTCATTTGATTTTTGTACTTGATTTATATGTTGATCCCACATTTCTCCTATTATTATTATTATTTTTATTTTTAATAAAATGCTGAAGTGGTAGGTAGATGCAAGATAAAGGTAGAAAACATAGTTTAGTGCTGTAAGAAGGCAAATGTAGATGATCAGATGATCAGGTGTGTGCCTATGGACTAAGTATTAATCCAGGCTAGACAAGGGCAGCAAGACATCCACGGATGCAGAAGATTTCTCTCAAAGCAGGGGGGGTGAGGTTCTGAGCCTCACCTCTGTTGATCCCCAAATTCTCACCTGATGGCCCCCCTGCGACTGTGCCTGTCTTAGGTTGTTCCTCCCTTGAGGAATCTTACCCGTCTCTGGCTAACCAGTCATCTTCCGGGGCCATACAGGGAAATGTAAAGTTGGTAAGTGAGAGAGAAGCCATATTGTTTGCAAAGGTTAGCTTTTTACTTCTTTGCAGATTTATGCCCTGTGGCTTCTATGCCCAGCACTTGTCTCGAGGTATCTTTACCACCTGGAGGAATTATGATACTCGGTAAATTCGATATGAGGCACGAATTCTATTTAAGGTTTGTAATTAGGAAGGAAGAAGAAAAGCTATAGATGTAGCATATGAAGGAAACTTGGGAGGATTGATTATTTCTTTGACATATCTTCTTGTATAGTACCTTAAGTATGTATAGGTTTTAAACTACTAACTAATTTGCACACACATATTAACATAATAGGAATACGGTGACATAAACAAAGCAAATCTATAATTACCAGCCATCTCCAGTGAAGCCAAGAAAACCATTTAGGCACCCTAGGCATTTGTGAAAATTTATCTATGATATGATGGATATTTTCCAACTGTACTTGAACCATCAGACAAATTAAAGCAGCCCATTTCTGGGATCTGTTCACATCCCATATGTTCTTTTAACCATAGATAGTCTATAGTCATGAGATTTTGGGGTGCTACAACTTGCACCCCTCCCAACTCCTGGTTGAGTTCCAACAGTACAGATCCAGTCAAATTCGTTGTCTCACTGTATGCACATGCCAGCCTAGACATCTCCCTCCTCCTTCTTATGGCAAGTCCAGGAGACGGTGGGCTGGATGCAGCCACAACCGCAGCATCGTCCGGATCCCTGTGGAGGCTTTTTGATGATCATCCCCCGGCACGAGTCCTCCAGAGAGTGCTGATGCCGGAAGCTCCTCCTCATATCGTATCTTAGTTCATTTTCTGGGTATCCAAGCTAGGCCTTGATCTTCTGCGTAGAAACAAACAGACCCTTTGCCCACACTTTGACATGCCCTCTATACCACTGTGCAGAACTCATTGGAGGTCAGCACACAGTAACTTTTTTTTTTTTTTTTTTTAATTAAGAGAAAGGAATATTATCAGAAAAGAGTACCTCCATAGCTGATCATCTGACACCCTTTAAGTGATCAACATTAAGGATATTTAAAGCATGCGTTGATCTTTGATTTACCAATAGTTTTATCCTGTTAAGGAGTAATCCCCCTTTTCTTTCTTTTTTTTTTTTTTTTTTTTTAAATTTTTAATCTACACTTACCTGAAGAATACTATGTTTACTATGCTCTCCCCTATATCAGGTCCCCCCTAACAACCACATTACGGTTACTGTCCATCAGCTTAGCAAAATGTTGTAGAGTCACTACTTGTCCTCTCTGTGTTGTGCAGCCCACCCTCCCCTTTCTCCCTCCCCCCCATGCATGCTAATCTTAATACCCCCCTTCTTCTTCCCCCCCCTTATCCCTCCCTGCCCACCCATCCTCCCCAGTTCCTTTCCCTTTGGTACCTGTTAGTCCATTTTTGGGTTCTGTAATTCTGCTGCTGTTTTGTTCCTTCAGTTTTTCCTTTGTTCCTATACTCCTCAGATGAGTGAAATCATTTGGTATTTCTCTTTCTCCGCTTGGCTTATTTCACTGAGCATAATACTCTCCAGCTCCATCCATGTTGCTGCAAATGGTTGGATTTTTCCACTTCTTATGGCTGAGTAGTATTCCATTGTGTATATGTACCACATCTTCTTTATCCATTCATCTACAGATGGACATTTAGGTTGCTTCCAATTCTTGGCTATTGTAAATAGTGCTGCGATAAACATAGGAGTGCATCTGTCTTTCTCAAACTTGATTGCTGCGTTCTTAGGGTAAATTCCTAGGAGTGGAATTCCTGGGTCAAATGGTAGGTCTGTTTTGAGCATTTTGATGCACCTCCATACTGCTTTCCACAATGGTTGAACTAATTTACATTCCCACCAGCAGTGTAGGAGGGTTCCCCTTTCTCCACAGCCTCGCCAACATTTGTTGTTGTTTGTCTTTTGGATGGCAGCTATCCTTACTGGTGTGAGGTGATACCTCATTGTAGTTTTAATTTGCATTTCTCTGATAATTAGCGATGTGGAGCATCTTTTCATGTGTCTCTTGGCCATCTGTATTTCTTTTTTGGAGAACTGTCTGTTCAGTTCCTCTGCCCATTTTTTAATTGGGTTATTTGTTTTTTGTTTGTTGAGGCGTGTGAGCTCTTTATATATTCTGGACGTCAAGCCTTTATCAGATCTGTCATTTTCAAATATATTCTCCCATACTGTAGGGTTCCTTTTTGTTCTATTGATGGTGTCTTTCGCTGTACAGAAGCTTTTCAGCTTAATGTAGTCCCACTTGCTCATTTTTGCTGTTGTTTTCCTTGCCCGGGGAGATATGTTCAAGAAGAGATCACTCATGTTTATGTCTAAGAGGTTTTTGCCTATGTTTTTTTCCAAGAGTTTAATGGTTTCATGACTTACATTCAGGTCTTTGATCCATTTTGAGTTTACCTTTGTATATGGGGTTAGACAATGGTCCAGTTTCATTCTCCTACATGTAGCTGTCCAGTTTTGCCAGCACCATCTGTTGAAGAGACTGTCATTTTGCCATTGTATGTCCATGGCTCCTTTATCAAATATTAATTGACCATATATGTTTGGGTTAATTTCTGGGGTCTCTAATCTGTTCCACTGGTCTGTGGCTCTGTTCTTGTGCCAGTACCAAATTGTCTTGATTACTATGGCTTTGTAGTAGAGCTTGAAGTTGGGGAGTGAGATCCCCCCTACTTTATTCTTCTTTTTCAGGATTGCTTTGGCTATTCGGGGTCTTTGGTGTTTCCATATGAATTTTTGAATTATTTGTTCCAATTCATTGAAGAATGTTGCTGGTAATTTGAGAGGGATTGCATCAAATTTGTATATTGCTTTCGGCAGGATGGCCATTTTGACGATATTAATTCTTCCTAGCCATGAGCATGGGATGAGTTTCCATTTATTAGTGTCCCCTTTAATTTCTCTTAAGAGTGACTTGTAGTTTTCAGAGTATAAGTCTTTCACTTCCTTGGTTAGGTTTATTCCTAGGTATTTTATTCTTTTTGATGCAATGGTGAATGGAATTGTTTTCCTGATTTCTCTTTCTATTGATTCGTTGTTAGTGTATAGGAAAGCTACAGATTTCTGTGTGTTGATTTTGTATCCTGCAACTTTGCTGTATTCCGATATCAGTTCTAGTAGTTTTGGAGTGGAGTCTTTAGGGTTTTTTATGTACAGTATCATATCATCTGCAAATAGTGACAGTTTAACTTCTTCTTTACCAATCTGGATTCCTTGTATTTCTTTGTTTTGTCTGATTGCCGTGGCTAGGACCTCCAGTACTATGTTAAATAACAGTGGGGAGAGTGGGCATCCCTGTCTGGTTCCCGATCTCAGTGGAAATGCTTTCAGCTTCTCGCTGTTCAGTATAATGCTGGCTGTGGGTTTATCATATATGGCCTTTATTATGTTGAGGTACTTGCCCTCTATTCCCATTTTGCTGAGAGTTTTTATCATGAATGGATGTTGAATTTTGTCAAATGCTTTTTCAGCATCTATGGAGATGATCATGTGGTTTTTGTCTTTCTTTTTGTTGATGTGGTGGATGATGTTGATGGATTTTCGAATGTTGTACCATCCTTGCATCCCTGGGATGAACCCCACTTGGTCATGGTGTATGATCCTTTTGATATACTGTTGAATTCTGTTTGCTAATATTTTATTGAGTATTTTTGCATCTACATTCATCAGGGATATTGGTCTGTAATTTTCTTTTTTGGTGGGGTCTTTGCCTGGTTTTGGTATTAGGGTGATGTTGGCTTCATAGAATGAGTTTGGGAGTATTCCCTCTTCTTCTATTTTGTGGAACACTTTAAGGAGAATGGGTATTATGTCTTCTCTGTGTGTCTGATAAAATTCCGAGGTAAATCCGTCCGGCCCCGGGGTTTTGTTCTTGGGTAGTTTTTTGATTACTGTTTCAATTTCTTTGCTTGTAATTGGTTTGTTTAACTTTTGTGTTTCTTCCTTGGTCAGTCTTGGGAGGTTGTATTTTTCTAGGAAGTTGTCCATTTCTTCTAGGTTTTCCAGCTTGTTGGCATATAGGTTTTCATAGTAGTCTTTAATAAT